TAAGATGGCAGAGAAGAAGAATTTCCACAGTGTGTGCTCATATCTAAGTCAACGGGAGTCAACGGTTGTTCCAAGTGCCAACTTTACGGTTATGTTCACGAATGTTGACTGAGAAAGACTCCACAATATGGAAGAACTTATATTTATTATTACTGAAAATGTATGCGAGTAAAATGTTGAAATATGGGAGGGTAGAGAATATGAGGAGAGTAGGAAATGGAAGCAACATGATCCCAATGAATGGTAGCGATAGAAGCATTTCTCTTGCGATGACTTAGAGTAGTCATATTAATTCTGGTGATTCTATTTTAGACAGAAAATAACAATGCGCTGAACTGTTTGTTAGATGTTTCTTTGTCAAGTTAATCATCACTACAATATACTACTGAAAAGGCTATCCCCAAAGGGATAGAAGCTAGGTGATATTCTTAGGTACGAGACAATCGAAAAGGAAACTCCTTCAAATACTTCGCCTTTGAAGCAATGACCACTTCGAAAGACCTTTTTAGAGAGGATACAGGCTAGGGACGAGGCACATTTCTAGAGGATGGTTTACTGCCCAAAGGTAGTGATGTTACCCTTGACCATTTCATTTTCTATTGCCCTTTTATTTCCCATTTTAGGTGTGATTGTGTGAGTGGGTAATGGCAATGCAGGGAAATGGTGGAAGCCCTCATTCGGAGAAGTATTTTATGAAGACAACAGAGGCGGAAAAGTGGATGAGGAATAATCATACCTTGCCTGTGAGGCCTTCTGATGGGCAAATTTTCCAACAGCACGAAGTATGAGGAGTGGCGTTGTTTCAGAGAATACCGACCTCCTTCCCAATGACTGATTGGTCCGTCATGACCCCTACGAGTTGGTGTAGGCTGTAACCCTGTTTATGCACTGAGACAACATCGGACAACCAAATCCACCTCTCGGCACCGGTGATTCATTCGGTCAGAAAAGAATCTAGTCTAACATAAACTTGTCTAATGTGCACTTTGGATTTTATGACTTGGGATAGCAGTCTTTGAAGTTTATTATCTGGCATCCATTGTTAATGAGTTGTATGTGGTATATGGCACCCATTAGCTCAATTGCTTCCCCTCCTCTACTTGCCATTTACAGTTTATTTACCCAGAAACAAGTTGTCACATCATCACACCTCCTTCTTCATGAAGAAGTAGAAGCAACAGATGAATATATGAGACCCATTGGTGTTCCAGTCCTTTGGGCTCTATAAGTGGAGGATAGAGATGAAAATGAAGTGAAAGAACCACTCCTGGATACGGATTTCGAAGCAAAAGCGAATCCTGCTCTTCGTTTTTGCAGTTAGGTATTTTATGATTAACAGTCGAGAATTAACTTTTTCATCTCTCTCTGAGGATCACTTTCATGGGTTTTCTTCGGTACGACGACCTTAGGTGGCTAAGATTTCCGAAGCGCTGTACGTCTGTTTTGTAATTTCGTGGCTATCTTTGCTTTAATGCTCAAAATTCCCTGCTTTTACCTTAGCGAACGTTTAAACACTTCAAATGCTCTGTCTTGGTACCCTCGAAAAACGTCGGTCCATGCGTCCCAAATGATTGCATGGCCAAAAGCAGCAGGCAGGTTGTTTAGTCTTCGATTCAAAATGGATCCTTAGTGAGCAGTAAGATATTGTGTGAATCTGTGGAGGTAGTCCAGTGTATGACATTGGTGTCTGACGATGGCCTTATCGAAATTCTACAGAAAAGGTAGTCGTCATTGGTGTGCATACGTGAGAGGCATCACAGCCTCTGACCCGCTGCATGCATCAACCTCAAAACTCTCTTGGGTTTACTCCCTTACGATGACCAATGCAACAATAAATACAAAAAAGAGGTAAAGGGGATTTTCTCCTCCAAAGGATTATCAACGCAGCTTCCTACGCCGGTCGAATGCATTTAAGAATCACTAATCTCGGCTCAGCAAGCTCAATTCAAATGTCAAACGCTTTGGCCTAAGAACAGGGGCCAGATTAGGAAAAAGTTCTTGATTGCAGCCATTCTTAATCATAAATTGGCCAGTTTAGTGTCCGATAGAAGTTATTCGCATACCTTGGGAAAATCGTGATTGACAGGCTTAACTCAATCTCCACCATTCTCGCTGGAATAGGCAGCTCTTCTACGGAGTTCCGAGGGGTTTAGCCGTTCATAGCAGGCATCTTTCCCATGGTAATCTACTAATTTTGTTTTTTTTTTCGGAAGCTTTAAAGAGAGCGACTCTCCACTTTTCAAAAAGAAAAATGTCTCTATTATATTCCCATTTTACCGCTGTTAAAAAATTCTTCGACTTACCCTCGATGATTTTCCTCCAGACACGGGCCTAGAAGTCTAACATAACTTCGCGGTATTGGTGCAGAAGCTGAGTAGCTGTAAGGGGAGAAGAAATAAAAGACGTTTCGAATAGTCAGGCATTCATCTCTGACCTTTTGAGTCCATAGGAATCATCAATGCTGCCTCCTCATAATCGGCGGGTGTGGAGCAGATGTCCTTCAAAGAAGGAAACAGAAACCCTTTTCTTTCATGAAAATAGATGCGTAATTTGTCTACTCACTCATATTGCCCTTGTAAGTGTCCCCTCCTTGCAGTAATTCCCCTTCTAAAAACCTTTCTCCGGTCGTTTCGTGGTTTTTAAGCCTACCTTTAAAAACTATTTTTGTGTAACTTCTTGATTACCTTCTAAACAAAGATAAAACCATCCCGTCCAGGTGACCCTTTTACCACCTTAATGTCATTTTATGACCATCTGAAAGACCGCCTCTCTTTTTATCTGCTTTGTCACCCTTTTTTCGGTTTTTTTCCAAAGTAAGTAAAAATATTTGTTTCTGTAAAGGGAATGCAAACTCTTTATAGTCTTTACGGTCTGATCATCAGTCGTCCATATTTACAGACCCTCAGCTCGATGCCGTTCGAGCTAAAAGGAACTCAAACTTCAGATATTCAGTCTAAATTTGCATTACGAAGATACTACTGATGAAGTAAGTAGACTTTCTCCTAAGCTGAGGATACATCATATCACTTCCGCGGGTAATTACAAACTCTAAGCGTAGGAGAGTGACCACAGGAAGCCTCAGGAAGGAGACTTAAAAGAGAGGAGGACCAAGATTGAAAAAATTATTGTTTAATGATCTATCTAACTATACAACTTTTCAGATCCTCGCTGTTTTGTCAACATTTTGGCTCGATGTCATCTCATCCATCCCTCTTATACCCTTTCTTCCGTTCTAATGTATACTGCTACGGCTTTAGAGATGATTTGAAGAAGTATAACATTGTCTAAGGGTTGATATTTAGCTGTTTTCCATCCTTTGCTGGAACAAGAAAGTGCTCTCCAGTATAACACTTGCTTAGTCAATTGTCCTTTGAAATACGACTTTGAATGCCTTTAGTCTCTGCTATCGCTAACTATGTGGGCACCCCAGTCTCCACAGGTTACACCTTCACGCCACCACCCATGCTAGTAGTCTGTCGGCTCCCCCCGCGCATCAGCCGCCTCTGGTTTGTTACGACTTTGGGACGCTGAATTGGCATTAGTAGCATGAAGCGTCATTAACTCTCAATTTCTTTCTATAAAGCATTAAATTAGTAGGAAGAAATGTGAGGAACGCATGCATATGGTTCAACGAACATATTTAAATGCGATTTTCTTCTCTACGTTAATCTCCGCCTTTGCTGTACACGAAGATGACTGAAAAACTAATCATAATTCTTGCGTTGTGCTTTTTGACGCGCGATATTTTGTCATCACTAATTCGTTACCCCACATTACTTTTACTTTTTTGCCTTGGATTCGGAAATAAGAATAAATGCTACATTTATCAATTTGTCACTCCCCAAGTTTGGTCGGCATTGTGTGATAGGTTAAGCTGGCTTAGGGAAAACCGCTCGCATTAATGATTGGAAGGGGCTAGGAGGATATGTACAGGGTCCAGGTTAGTGTTCTAAAGATTTTTTGGTAAATTGTTTCCGAATATTTAATAAGACACCCTTAAAATGGGTTTGCTTGGTTTTAGCGATGAGAAACGGTGAGCATACGCCAACCACGTGATTGAGCGGACGCCGTTGACCCCGAGGAATGCTAACCCCCTACAATCCAGATTCTCTACACACATTTCCAACAACTATCAAATATAAATATCCTTCTCTAACCAATCCGCTCTTTCTAAGGGCATGGACCTGTTGTATTGGTGACGATGCCAGCAAATCTTCTTTCCTTTCAAGGCTCATATGGACTTCAAGGGGCATTGCAAATCTTGCGCGTCCTTCCTCAAAAACAAACCTTGACAGTTGTAAAGGCCGGAATAACCCTAGACACGGAGTTGGAAGAATGTGCTACTACCTTAGCCCAACTTGTCACTGGCCAAGAAGAACAGACACTTATCAGAAAGTTCTTCTATCGCTACAAAACTTGGACAAAGACGACGAGGAGTGCGTATAAAACCTCCATCATCTAATAGCATAAGCTTCAAAAACTCATCTTTAAACAAGATTGCTGGATGGATAACCGTCTAGTTTAGCCGTATGTTTTTCGTTTCCTACTTTGCGTATTATGTATTAAATGCACTGAAGTCCACGTACAAAGTAGGTGTTTCG